GCTGGTTGGGAGAAGAGGAAAAAAGTTTTGAGACTTTTCCGCTGCCGCTGGGAGCCGGAGGCGCGGCGACCGCTTTGCGCAGCGCTGCCCCGAGAGGCAGGATTTGGGGACACCAGACCGCACCCCCCCCCACCGCCTCGGACGCTTCCTCCCTCCCTGCCCCCTACACGGCGTTCCCCAGGCGCCCCCATTTCGGACCAGCCCTCAGGAGCCGCAAACCCGACTCCCACGAAGACTTGACCCCAGACCTCGGGCGCACCCCCTGCACGCCCCCCAACTCCCAGCCTCTCTCCTGAGCCCCCGCGCATCCAAGGACCCTTCTCCTCTGGGATCCAGGAGACGAGATTTCTTTCAGACCTGCCTCAGCTTTCCTATTCAAGACCACCCACTTCTGGTACCAGATCTCGCCCATCCCGGTTTTTTCCGTGGGATACCAAGAACCCACCCATCAAAGCCTCCCCGCCACCTCCGCTCCGTTCTCCCTGAGGGCCTCAACTTTCCCCCCCAGACCTTCCTACTTTTCTCGGGAGACCCCCCAGCCCCTGTCGGGGCGGGGCCTTCCTCTTGCCACCCCAGCTCGGCTAGCGCTCTCGGCTGTGCCGGGGGGGCGCCGCCTCCCCCATGCCGCCCTCCGGGCTGCGGCTGCTGCCGCTGCTGCTGCCGCTGCTGTGGCTGCTAGTGCTGACGCCTGGTCGGCCGGCCGCCGGACTATCCACCTGCAAGACCATCGACATGGAGCTGGTGAAGCGGAAGCGCATCGAGGCCATCCGCGGCCAGATTCTGTCCAAGCTTCGGCTCGCCAGCCCCCCGAGTCAGGGGGAGGTGCCGCCCGGCCCGCTGCCGGAGGCCGTACTGGCCCTTTACAACAGTACCCGCGACCGGGTGGCCGGGGAAAGTGCCGAACCCGAGCCCGAGCCAGAGGCGGACTACTACGCCAAGGAGGTCACCCGCGTGCTAATGGTGGAAAACGGCGACAGTGAGCTTGGAGGGGCAGGGGACCCTAGAGGGGAGCCCCCAGGGGGCGCCGGAGTGCAGGGGTCGCGGGGAGGAAATTACCCGTAGGGGAGACTGGCGGGAGGAAGAGGACCCCCGGGGAAGCCGGGAACGTGGGTGCGGGATTCCAAAGAAGATAGGGCTGATCTCCCTACCCCCCAGGTATCTGGGCTTGAAGAGGAGACAGTGAGAGAAGTGGACCACTTTTAGAAGGCGACAGGAACATGTGGGTCGTAGGGGGAGTCCCTTAGGGGAGACGCGAAGCAATTAGAGGGTAGGAGGGAAGGGGTGTAGAAAAAGACTTCCCCTAGCAGAGTGCACTGGAATGCAGGGGTCATGGGGTGGGGGCTGCAGAGAGGGGGCCCGCTTTGAGAGAAGCGAGGACCCCAGCATTTGGGAAAGGAGAGGTAGTGGGGAAAGCTGATCCAGAGCCCAGGGGTCGTGAGGCGGGAAGATTCAAGGACAGGAAAACTAGGTGTAAGCTCGGAGGTGCCAGGAAAGTGCAGAGAGGATCCACTTGCACAGGGCTCGAGAAACACGCGAAATTGGGGGAGGGCTTAGAGAAAGGCGAGGAGGGGGTGATAAATGCGGGGTAGAAAGGGGACACGAGGTTGTAGGGTGGTGGAAGCTAGCGGGAGAGAAGCGGAGACCCTAGGCGGGTGCCAGGGATGCGCCAGGAGGTGCTCCCGAGTATTTCTGAGACAAGAGAGGAGGAAGCCCAGTGGAGGAAACGAGCCCCAGGAAACTTATGACCCTAGAATACTGGGTCGTGCTTGGGAAGGGAAAGGGGAGACAAGCGTGGGAAAGGTGGGCCTGGGAGGCGGCAGAGGAGAGATGGACCTTGCCATGCTGGGAGCTGCGACCCACCCCCGCCCCGGCCCCGGCAGAATGGAAGGGAGATGGCTGAGTGAGGAGTTGAATCGTAGCGGGAGAGGTGGGTGGGTGCTACTCTACAAGACCCGGGCGAGGAAACAGAGCTGGTAGGAGTGAGGAAGCCCCACGTGGGTGCCACGCGCGGGGGGAGGAGCCTCCGCTTCCGGAAGGGGGCAGGAGGACCCCGCAGAGCTAAATGCTGAAAGCCTGGACCCCAAACTCCTAGTTCCTCCCTGGGAGGCTGGGGAAACCCCAGCGTCCGGCCGCCTCGCCCTCCCTCCCTTCCCTTTCCTTCCCGTGCCTCGAGGGGCGGGGATCGCGCGCGGAGCCTGGGGCGAGACGAGGCAGGTCCGGTCCCCGCTCTCGCGGCGGCGGCGTCTCCCGCCCTCTTCACCCCCAGCTCTGGGCGGGGCTATCGTCGGGCCCGCCCCGTCGGCGCCCGCGAGGGGACCCAGGCGTCCCGCGTGGCCCCGAGACTTGGGTGCCACCCCCTGCTTTCTTTCACTTTCCGTCTTGGGCAGTGCACTTGCGAGTCTCTGGCCCATTTGTGCGCCCAGTTGCGGCTTCAGCCAAATGATGTCCCTACCCACCCGCATCTCCATTTCACCTTTTCCGTGGTCGCTTCACTTTCGTGGTAGAAATTTTTTTCAACACTGATACCTTCAACCCTCTTCTGCCTCCATCTTGCTCCCAAACCCTACTGCTTCCATCTCTTGTGTCTCTGTCTCCCATCTCTGCCTTGCCGTTTCTCCCGCATCCCCATTACTCTCTCTGTCCCTGTCTGGGTCTCCCAGTTTCTCTCTCTCCATCTCTTTCTCTCTCTCTCTGTCCCTTTCTCCTCCATACCCAACTCTCCATCTCTCCCTCTGACCGTTCCTACCCCTTCTATCTCTCTTCCTCCCTGTCTGTCTCCCGGCCTGGGCTTCCTTTGAGGTCTGCTGAGTAACCCCTGGACCGAGATAGGGCTTATTTGTGGTGGGCAGGGGCTGGCTTAGCTAGAAGGGGAGAAGTAGAAGAAGGAGGCCCACGGAAGGGGCCTCCTCTGTCCTTTCTCTTCAGATGTCACCACCATTTCCACGCCCCCAATGCAGAGGTTGATCTAGGAGTTCCTGACCTGCCCCCTCATTCCCAGCCCCAAGTTTTTCCCGGACCAGAAAACACTCTTCCTAATTTTCTCTGTTCCCTGCCCGTACCCCTGAAGCCATTCCTACCTAGAATGAACTTTGCCTTCTTTAACCAGCTGAGGCCGGAAACAATTAGTATCAATAATAATAATAAGAGGAAGAATGTCACATTAGCAGAGAGGCAGCATGGCCTAGAGGTTAAGAGCACAGCCTCTGGAATCAGACTGCCTGAGTTTGAATCCTCACTCTGCGGCTTCCTAGCTGTGTGGCCTTGGGCAAATTGCTTCGTCTCTTTGGGCCTCAGTTTCCCCATCTATAAAATGGGTATAATAATAGTATCTTTCGCATGGGGTTGTTGAACACATTAGAGTGACCACTGTGTGCAGACCTTGTGTGACTTGTTTTGTCTCACTTATCTCACACTGTCTTCCTGCAGTCAGTCCTTGCCTTACACGTGAGAATCTGACACAGAAAGAGGAATCCACTTGCCCAAAGTCACACAGTGCTTCAGTTAGGAGAATCTGGGTTAGGAGGCAGAGAGCTTGATGTCAAATTGATCCTTCACAAAGAATAGGAACCTGAGGCTGGGAGAGGGAATGTGGCTTGCCCAAGCTCATAAAGCTGGAAGGCAGTAGAGTCAGTCTGAGCCAAATACGCTTGATCCCTACTCGGCAACGTAATTTGCATTTGAGGCTCCAACTGCTGGGGAGGCCTGAGCAAGCAGAGCAAACCCCACCCCTGTGCCAGCTTTGTACTGAGGGGGCGCTTCCCAGATGACGGGAAGGAAGGGTGAATAGGACCCCGCTTAAAGAGGAGGAAACAAACCTAGTGAGGAGAAGCCAGTCACCCAAGGTCATCCGGCTAAAAGGTGTCAGGGGTGTCAACCCCAAGGCTGTCAGCTCTTGGACTTGGTGTGGGCCAGCTCCCCTGCCAAAGCCTGACATTCCCCCTCTCCTTCCACCTAGAAATCTATGATAAAATCAAGCGGAGCCCACACAGCATATACATGCTGTTTAACACATCGGAAGTCCGGGAGGCGGTACCCGAACCCGTGCTGCTCTCTCGGGCAGAGCTGCGCCTGCTGAGGCTCAAGTTAAAAGTGGAGCAGCACGTGGAGCTGTACCAGGTGGGACAGGGGCCCTGGGGGCAGCCTGGGCTGGGGCGGCTGGAAGGCTGGAAGGCTGGTGGCTGCAAGGTCCACATAGATGGACCCCGAAGGACGGGGAAGCACAGACCATGGAACCAAGGGACTCTGAAATGTTTAGACTCCTAGTGCCCTAGATGCTAAACACTTGGAAGGCTGGAATCTAGGATTTGGGTTCTAAGAACTCAGGGCTTTGGAAGCTGGAATCTCTGGAGAGGTTGGAGACTTTCAAAATGCTCTGTCCCATACAGTAACCACTAGCCACATGTGGTCCGTTTAAGTTGATTAAAATTAAAAGAAAAAAATTCCATTCCTCAGTCTCACTGGCCATATTTCAAGTGGCCTGTAGTCACATGGGGTTAGCAGCTGCTATTTTGGACACCACAGATAAAGAACATTTCCATCATCGTGGAAAGTTCTCTTGGATAGCTCTGTTCTAGAAGACTTAGTCTCCAGGAGGACTGGGGCCTCCAGGAGGGCTGGATTCTCTTGACAGTTATGTGACCTAAAATCCCTGTCATATGGAACGTTAGATTCAGTAGTAGATGTTAGACTCCTGCAGGAAGGGAATTTGTCTGATGTTAAGTTCTCGGGGTCTAGAGAATTTGGCTTTATGCTGCCAGCTCCAGGGGATCATTCCACGGGGGTGTCTGGCATCTGCAACATCTGGGTTTGTGGCATGTCCAACTCCTGGGTTTGTAAAGCAGCAGTCTCACAGAACTTCTCCAGCTCATTAAACGTGTGTTTCTTAGGGTGTTACCAAGCACTGCACTTAGGGAATGACTTCTGACATCAGCCCCTCGAAAGTTATAGACTCTCAGAATTCGGGGGGTCAAATTTGCAGAACTGTATAGTCAGTGACCCCTACGATGTCTGTAGGAGAGTCTTAGCATCATGAACTGTCCAACCTGAAAAGGTCCTGGCATTTCACCAGAGAGGAAACTGAGGCCAAAGAGGGAGAAGAATTCCCCCAGCTAAGCAGGGGGTCAGGGGCAGGGGCTGAGCTGCCCAGGTACCTTCCCCACCCCCCAGGCCCGAGGCTCTCTCTCCTCTCCCGGCTGCGGTTGGGGGTGGGTGGTTCCTGTTGGGCCTTTCAGTGTGGGTGTCCAGGAGGGGACTGAGGGACTGCGTGGAGGCCCGTTTGGGGGAGCAGATGGAATGAGGGGTGCAGCATACATGGTGATGTGTGGCAGCATCTACCCACTGTCTCTCCCCTCAATTCATTGTCCTCCAGAAATATAGCAACGACTCCTGGCGCTACCTCAGCAACCGGCTGCTGGCCCCAAGCGACTCACCGGAGTGGCTGTCCTTTGATGTCACTGGAGTTGTGCGGCAGTGGCTGACCCACAGAGGTGAGGACCGCTTGCCTGCCCCACCCCTGTTTTGTAATGGTGTTGACCCCATTGTTTGTCCTTTGGTCACCCTGTTTAGCACCCTCCATCCCATATTTGTGCCAAAGAGCCCAGACCTGGCCCTCCTCCCAGACGCTCAAACCTGAGTGATTAATGGTTAATACATTTCCTGAGCATCTGCCCTGTGCTGGGTGATGCTGGGGTCACAGCAGTGACCAAAACAGTCCCATCCTTGCCCTCATGGAGCTCGTGGTCCGTTGCTGGAATGGGAAGACTTGGAGGGAAGGCCTGAAAACCAGGTAGTAATGTCCCAGAGTAGGCAGGGCTGGGATGGGAAATCCAGAGGAGGTGCCTGACCCAGCCTGGGAGATCGGGGAGGGCTTCCTGGAGGAGGGGACATCGAAAAGGGTGTCTGAGGGATGCGCAGAAAGGAGGCACAATAGTGTTCAACGCAGAGAGACAGGCTGTGCAGAGGCCTTGAGTCCAGGGAGAGCCTGACACAGCTGATCGGTCAGGAAGAGGTTTGAGTCTGTCCGGTCCCGCTTGAGTCCGCAGCACCCACATCTCCCTTCCTGATTTCCCTCTCATTCATTCCTTCATTCAGTAAATGCCAGTTAGTTCCTGTTCTGTGCCTGGCCCTGTGCTGGTGGCGTGGGGGACACAGTAGTGACCATGACAACTTCTAGGCCTGCCCTCATGGGACCCACAGTCACTTCTGGACACCTAGGAAGTTTTGCCAAAGACCTAGCAGGCTGTGATGGCCACAGTGAACAGGGCTGGGATGGGGGAGGCTGTAAGTGCTGTGGGAGCCCAGAGTGGGCACCCAAACCCATCTGGTGGGGTCTGGGAATGTATCCTGGGTGAGAATGACTGTGTCAAGACTCACGGGTTTGGCAGGTGAAAAGATGGGGGTTAGGGAGCAGGTGGGCGCTGGGCAAATGCCAGTCTTAGTCATTGCTGAGTCCAGAGCACCCAGCACAGGGCCCAGCAGGTAGCAGAAGCTCAGGAAAGCACTCCACTCATTCATTCAAGAAACTTTTCTCCCAGCCCTGCCCTGGGACAAGAGCCCAGGCTCTTGCCCCTCAGCCCTGCCTTCTCCCAGTTTGGGAGAGTCACCCCCTCTCTGCAGCCCTTGATTTCCTTGTCTGTAAAATGGGGAGCTTTGGTGAGGATGAAAGGAAATAATGCACAAAGAGTGTTTAGAACAGGGTCTGGCACCTAGTGCGCACTCAGTAGATGTTTGTTTTTACGACTGTGGGCCAGGCCCAGCGGGGAGCAAGAAAACAAGGATCCCTGCCCCCATGTATCCTGCTTTCCACTGAGAACAATGAGGGAACTAAATAGCCAAATACACATGTCAGAGATGGTAAGTGCTGTGAATAAAGTTCTGTCATAGTGGAGGAGGGGCTGTGTCCTGGAGGGCCTCCTGGAGGAGGTGGCATTTGAGCTGAGACCGGAAGGAGGATGAAGGATCAAGAGGGTGCAGTGAGAGGACAGGCAGGGGAAGGGCAGGAAGGAGGTCCCCTCACCCCTACTCCAGGGGTTTGCTATTTCCTTTCTCCTCCCCCAGGGGCTGGGATGGGCCACCCCCTGACACTGGCATCTCTCTTCCCACTCCCACAGAGGAAATAGAGGGCTTTCGCCTCAGTGCCCACTGTTCCTGTGACAGCAAAGATAACACACTCCAAGTGGACATTAACGGTGAGGCCCACCTCCCTGGCCCGGCCCTGTGCCCAGCAGCAGTGACGTGTGTATGTGTATGTGTGTATGTGTGTATGTGTGTATGTGTGTGTCTTCCCTCCCCCTGCCTTCTCACCGCTCCCCCTACCCATCCACCTCTCTGAGAAAGTGAGTGTGTGTGTGTGTGTGTGTGCGTATGTGCATGTGTGTGTGTATTCTTGCCCCTGCCTGTCACTCATGCATCCATCTGAGAGTGTGTGTGTCTCCCCCACCCTCCCCATCCCCTGACTCCCAAACCAAAGCAGGGTTCAGTTCTGGCCGCCGAGGTGATCTTGCCACCATTCATGGCATGAACCGGCCCTTCCTGCTCCTCATGGCCACCCCGCTGGAGAGGGCCCAGCACCTGCACAGCTCCCGGCACCGCCGAGCCCTGGACACCAACTACTGCTTCAGGTGAACCTTGCAGCCTTTCACAGAGGCCTTCCGGGCTGGAGACCTTCTGGAAATCTGCTGAGCAGGCACCGCAGGCTGGGCACCTGCCTGGTGCTGTGCTTGGGTTGGCATCTCCTTCAGCCTGGAGGGCTCAGGGGGTGAGGTCTGAGGCCTAGGATGCTGGAATGTGTGAACTGGAAGTCCTCGAATGTTGAAATCAGCTTGCTTTCTTGCTAGTGTGTTGGAATCAGAGATCATTAGAATGTTGAACACCGAGAAAGTGGGAATTCAATATTAGAACGTCGCCATGTTAGATTCCTATATTGTTGGCAGGTGGGGGTTGGTTCTAGAATGTTGGGGATTCTAGGATGTTAGAATTCAATGTTAATTATTGGAATCTGAGAATGTTGGACTCAAGGCATGTTGGAATCCTAGAACTTCGGAATCCAGAATCGGAGGATTGCCCATTGTCCGACTGGAGTCTCCAGTGTTGGCAGATAGGAGTCCTTGAATATTGGGCCCAGAATAGTGGAATCCTGTGTTAAAATATTAGCATCCACAAATGTTGGAGTTGGAGAAAGTGGAATATTGGTAACCTAGAATATTGGGACTCAGTGCTGGAATCTTGTTAGAATGAGGCTGAGATCTTAGAAAGTGGCAGCTTGGACCTCTTGAGTGATGGGTTCAGAACTGTGGAATGTTGGAATGTAGTTTTGAAATATTGGAATTCAGACATGCCAAGGTCCTCGAGAGTTGGAATGTGGGAATCTTAGAAAGTTGGAAAGCTGTTGGAGTATCTAGAATCTTGAGATGCTGGTGTATGGTAATCTAGGAAAATTGAAAAGTTGTAGTCCTAGAATGTTGAAATTCAGAGTAGAGTGTTGCTAATTTAGAATGATAGTCTGACCTTGGTCCTCCCCTGCTTCATATTTTGATGATGCCTTTGGGCTTTGTTGCATGCAGTTCTCCCGCTGGCAAGTCATCTCTGCTCCCAGGCTTCTTCACCACCAGATCCCACCCTCAGCCTAGCAACCCTGTGAGTGAATGCATGGATTGAGGTCTCGATTGCCAACAGCTAATAACGTTACAGAGAGAGGCAGCCAACCACGCGAGGGACAAAATTTCAGTTAGGAAGTCTGGCCAAAAAATCAAACCTGGAGCTGATCAAGATGGTAGATCCAACTCCCAAGTTTCCAGAAACCAGAGGAACATGTGAGCCACCACCACGGGCATGCAGCCAGCAACATCTAGAGTGTGGGAAACTTGAGCCAATTTCTCCAACAACTACAATACACAGGGGGGAAATACAGAGATGGTTCCATAGATTTTAGAAAGAATCTTAAAAGATGAATCAACCAACTGCAAAAAGATGAATCAACCAATTGCAATGTGTAGACCTTATTTAGATCTTTATTTATGCAGACTATTTTTTTTAAAGATGTTTATGAAGCAGTTGGGGAAATGTGAATTCTGACTAGATATCTGATGATATCAAGGAATTGTTAGTTTTTCTTATGTGGTGTTTTAACATAGTCCTGATTTTCTCGGAGATCCATATTGAAATATTTATGAATGAAATGATATGGTGGATGACGTGGGCTTCAAAATCATTCACTGGGAGAGAGAAAGTGGATAAGGGTAGAAATACAGTGAAGCTTGTCGTGACTTGAGGATTGCTGAAGCTGGGTGATGGAGACACCAAGGTTCAACGTGATAGTCTCTGCTTTTGTGTATTTTTGAGGCTTTCCGCAATAATGTTATTCTTAGCATAAATACCATCTCTATTGGGGAGCCTCCCTGACAGTTTCCCCAGCATCCAGTTGGATAGGAGTCCCCTTCTGCCCACCCTGGGGCCCCCAGTGGGTTTCTTTTACTCATCAGGCCCTGTTGGGTTCTGGTAGACTGGACGGCAGAGTTGCTGGGCAAGAGCTTTGCAAGGGCCGGACCGTTTGTATCCCAGGTAGCAGGATCCAGGCATGCACAGAACAAACGGGTTAGATACTGTCTCATGGTCATCTGGACGGCTTTTTAAATGTGTCCTGCTGTCCCCCACCTCCACCTTCTGTTTCTGATTCAGTGGGTCTGGGGTGAGGCCCGAGAACTAGCATTTCCCACAAGTTCCCAGGCAATGCTGCTGCTGCTCCAGGAACCCCACGTGGAGAACAGCTGAGTTGAATAATAGAATCACACACTGTTCATATTGTAGGACCTCAGCACCCTGGCCAGAGCTGGACCAGAAATGTGAGATTATTCTGGACAGTGGTTCTTCCCTTTTTGTGAGTCAAGGCCCCCCTTGAGAAGCCAAAAGCCTGGAACCTTTCCCCAAGAAATATGCCTATATATGGGGGCATATGCCCCTCCCTGAGCCCGTACATGGACTTCCTGATGCCTTCCGGGCCCTTCACAGCATCTTAGTTGATCCAGCGTCTCCCTCATCTTTGTACAGATGGGGGAACTGGGTCCCAGTTAGACTAGGGAGGGACCAGGCTGAGCTCACAGGAACCTCAGTTTTCTAACTTTCTTCTCAGGACCATGTGGCTCCCAGAAAGGCCATATCTTGCCCTGGGAGGTCCTGTGGCATCGCCTCTCCCCTTCTGCTTGAGCTGACATGGTTGCACTGGTACATGAGACCACAGACTTAGCTGTGAACTGGTCCGGAGCTCCACATGTACAGGCTGCATATGAGCAGACACACCTTACCCCTTTCTCTGAGGCTCAGTTTCTTCATCCTTCAAATGGGAATAATAATAAGACCTGCCTTGTAGGGTTTTGAAATTTATTAGTTCTCTGTTGATTTTTGAGTAGGAAAATACATGCACATGGACCAAACCTAGAAAGGATACTCAGAGACCCTCCAGCCCTGACCCCCAGGCCCCTCTGTAGAGGCTTTTATTACATTTGTGTCTCCCTCCCGAGAGTCTCAGCATAAGACACTCACACATATCCATATATGTTTTTATTTTGTCCAAATGGCAGAGTCTGTTTTTTCAGGGGGGTGGGAAGTGTACTACATTTTCTTTCTTTTAATTTTTCTTTTCTTTTCTTTTTCCACAGAGGTACTGGGGATTGAACCCAGGACCTCACACATGCTAAGCACACACTCTACCACTGAGTTATACCCCTACCCCCTAATTTTTATTTTCTGATTCTAAAAGTAACACATACTCACTATCGAGAATTTGGAAAGATATCCCCTATCACATTGCCAGATATCAAATGTCACTGTCAATATTTTAATATATTGCCTTCTAGTCCTTCTATTCAAAACAGAATTTGGATTATATTGTACCTGTAACTTTGCATAATGTTTCTTTGACCTGTTATGAACATGGAATATAAAGTGTTCCCAGCTGCCCATGAGTCAGGCTTTTTAGCCAAGCTCCCTACCCATCTCAACCGTGGTCCCAGAGGCCAGCACATAAAATCCCCTATTTCCTTCCAGGCAAGCAGAAGCCTGGGCCCCAGACTGAGGAGGACTGACTTTCACATCTGAGCCTGGGTCAGAAATCATGAGTCCAGAATAGCTGAGTTTTACACACCACCACTCTCTAATGTCCTTTTTAAAAACCTAACCTTTTGATCAGTTAACCAATACTTGCTAAGCACCTGTTGTGTGCCAGGCACTGTTGTAGGCAGTGGGAACACATTTAGGGACGAAATAGACAAAAAGTCCTGTCCTCAGAGGAAGACAGACAATGAGCAGGTAAACAAATCAGTCTCTAATAAAAGAGCAGGTGGCAATAAGTACTAAGAAGGAAAATAAATCAGAGGAAGAGAAAAGAAAGAAATCATTGGGATAATTTATTTTTCCTGTTCTGATTTAAATTTTTTTATTATGGAAAATTTTAAATGTATACATAAGCAACCAGGATAGTATAATGAACCCCCATAAACTCTCATCCAGTGTCAACAGGTATAAAGATTTGCCCCATTTCAAATGCAGACATTTTCATTTTCTCTTGCATAGCTGAAATGCCGTTCTTACACTGAATGGAATTCATAATCATTTGGATTGGTATTTTGGATAGGATGGCCCAGGAAGGACTCTGAGGAAAGGACATTTGTTTGTTTGACTGATATTTATTGAGCACCTACTGCATGCCAGGTGGCGTCCTAGAAGTTAAGCCTTCCTGAGTGGAGGACATTTGAACATACGTATGAATGAAGTGAAGAAACAGAGCCAGAGTGGATTTCTGTGGGAATAACAAGCATTTGTACTGAGTCCCCAGTAGACCCCAGCCCAGCATGTGGTAGTATTTTAATGGACATTGTTGCACACTTAGAACATGCCAGTACACATGGAGCTGCATTGTATTTTTTATGTTCACGTGTGTGGATATGCCGTGATTTATGTAGCCATCCCCTGTGGACAGTCATCTGGCTTCTTACAGGCTTGTTTCAAGCATTGCATGATATAATAGTTAATGTGATGCCCTTAGTGCAGTGCTGGACTAAAGCAAGTGCTTTATCAGTGTTCGTGATTATCATTACTATTACTGCTATTGCTGTTATTATCACATTGGGTGCAAGGGAGACCAAGATGGAGATGTGCGGGGTTGCGGGGCAGCCAGCGTGAAACACATACACACACACACACACACACACACACACACACACACACACACGAGGGAGGAGGGTCGCCCTCCACTCACCTGACCGTTGGGTTCCCTCCCCTCCCGGCCTGACCGAGGTACC